CATAGGGAAGGGAGAGGAAGAGGAGGAAGATGGGAAGAAGAGAGGAAGGAAAATGAGGAGGAGGAGGGAAGAGAGAAAGGAAGGGAAAGAAGAAAGGAGAAGGAAGGAAGGAAGAAAGGAAGGAAGAGGAAGGAAGGAAGGAAGGAAGGAAGGAAGGAGAAAGAGAGAGAGGGAAGGAGGGAGGAAAGAGGGAAGGAAGGATAAAAGGGTGGAAGGGAGGAAGAAGAGGGAGAAAGAAGGGAAAGGAAGAAGGAAGAGGGAAAAGAGGGAGAGAGGGAAAGAGGGGGAAGAGGAGAAAGAAGAGGAAGAAGAAAAAGGGGAAAAGAGAGAAAGAAGAAAAGGGAAAGAAGGGAAGGGAGAAAAAGAGGAGGAAGGAAGAGAAGGAGAAGGAGGGAGAGAAAGAGGAAGAAGAAGGAGGAGAGAAGAGAAGAAAGGAGGGGGGAAAGAAGAGAGAGAAGAGGAAGAGAGGGGAAAAAATGGAAAAGGGAGTAGTGACTTCTGTGCTGCTTCGAACCTTGTATTTTGACCATACTTGGGTAGGAAACATACCATAGAATCATGTTGGAGGACATCAACAATGCCCAGTAAGAAATTCTGTGAGGAAGTAGGTACATTCTATCATATGTGCTGGACATGTAAGGAAACATCTAAATATTGGTCTTTAATCCATGAGGAAACACACAAAAAATTAAACAAAAAGTTTAAGAAAAAAACAGAGTATTATTTGTTAGGCTTTACTGAGTTGGAATTACAACTGGATGAAAATGAAGACAAACAATTTTTTTTTTACAACAGCGGCTAGAATCATTTTTGCAAAACTTTGGAAAAAGGAACAAATCCCCACGATTGATGAGTGGGTGGACAAGGTCAAAGAAATAAGAGACATGGACGAATTAACTTTTTTACTAAAGAAAAATACCGGGAAATCTATAAAAAAAAAAAGACAGATTGCGTTCTTTTTTATGACTATGAAAAGAAGAGAAGAAAGAAACAAAGAAGAGGTAAATAATAATGAAATAAAAGATAAGAAGATCCTGAGATTGGAATGGAAGTCATTTTATTTTGATTTTTGTATTTTTGTATTTTTTTATTTTTGTATTTTTGTATTTTTGTATTTTTGTATTTTTGTATTTTTGTATTTTTGTATTTTTTTATTTTTGTATTTTTGTATTTTTGTATTTTTGTATTTTTGTATTTTTGTATTTTTGTATTTTTATTTTCTTTCTTCTTTTTTTTTTTTTGGTGTTTGCTTTCACTGACTCTATTTCCTACTTTTCTATCTTCTTTTTGAATATTCCCCCTCTTTCCATGTATTTATGTTCTAAACTGATTAATAAAAATTTATTCTAAAAAAAAAAATGCCCAGTAAGAGTTAGGCCAGGATGCCATGTTCCTCTTTTATTTATGAACCCCAAACCTCCAAGATTTCTATTCAATCAGACACTGGAAGCAAGGAGATCGTTCAATAGGTTTATTTGGTCAAATCTCCCTGCTGGGTTGACAAAGAAAAAAGTGCCACACCAAAATTGAGATGCATCTTAGTTTTATAGTCAAAACCTTGAGTATGCTGCATCTCTACCTTGTTCTTTTGGCACCAGCTTTTATCAGTGTCTGCTTTTCCTCATCAGCCAATTCTCCCTCCACTTGTTTTCCCCTACTTCTTGTGCCTTCTCATAACTAGGCGAAAAACCTTTCAAACTTTCCCCTTGTCTGAGCTCTCTAGTTTTGGCTTGCAAATTTCCATTCCAAGGTCCCTCCTCTTTCTCCCTCCAGTCCCTCCATCCCCCCAGCTGGTAGTTTTCCACTATTATCTTAGCCTAGTCCCTTCAAGAACACCCATCCTAGAATTTCGATGATCTCCATCATGACTCTTTGGTCCACATCTGGACATAGAATTGTGTTGGAGGATGTAGAAAATTCCTAGAGAGAGCATTTTGTAACGCGTCTTGAGCTGTGAGGAGAGGCGGGTAAGAAATAAAGATTATTATTATTATTATTATTATTATTATTATTTCTCCAACACGGATAAGTGAGAACAGTGGTACAGGTACTGCAGAGATGGGTTCATACTAGGCTTGTTTGATCGTGTTCGTTAGTTTCTAAAGTCGTTATTAATTCATATTTAAATTAGCTTACGGTCCAATATCGAGCCATGCAGGAATAGTGTGAAGAGTAATTAAGAATCGAAACAATTTTTCCAAATTTTCGTAATTATTAAGACGGGAAAAAAGGAGAGAAAAGGTGCCAGCGTTGCCTTTCCTCCCCATTCTCCTCCTCCTCCTCCTCCTCCTGGAGATATTTTATTATCTTATTACTTATTTTATTATTTTATTTTATTATTTATTTTATTATTTATTTTATTATTTTATTATTTTAAGTGATTTTAATTTGTATTTTTACTAACTTAATGTATTTTAATTTCATCCTGAATTTATTTTAATTTGGTTTCTGTTAGTTGTAAGTTTTATCACCAACAGTCAGCAACAGAGGGAGAGGGATGCTTCAGAAGTGCCCCCTGTCCCGTTTGGAGGTGTTTTTTGCGCATTGCGCAATCGCGTCCGCCATTAACGAATCGATTCATAATTAACGAAATTTCAAAAATTTCAAAATTTTGAAATATTAAATTTCGGAAGTCCTCTGAAATTCGAAACGCTGGCGCCCCCTGGAAACTAAGCGAGTTTAGAACCAATTTTTTTCTTGATCAAACAAGCCTAGTTCATACATTTTATTTAGCTGTGTTAGACTGGTCAGATTGTTGGGTTCTTTTTTTTTTTGTAGAAAGCCACATTGGTAGCTGCTTTCACAGTTATTAAATAAAAATAATATTTTTAAGTAAGGTCCGTTTTGTTGTAGACACTAGTAGTTCCCACGCATACAGCAACGAGTACGTGCGTCGTGTACCGGCATGCCTCGGGAACAACTGTGCTCAGTTTCCGCTCTGTAGCTCACCTGTACGGTTCTGTTTTGTGCTTTAAAAATGTTTAAGACTATCAACTCACCCTCCGCATGTGAGGTTCGCTCAGATACGGTTTTTGTCAGCAAGGAACCTGCCTGCTGCAGAAATTCATCGACAGATTTGTGAAGTGTACGGTGATACTGTTATGAGTGAAAGCAAAGTGCATAAGTGGGTACGACAATTCAAAGATGGCCATGACAACGTCCATGATGAGGACCGCTCCGGTCGCCCTTCTTTGATTACAGACGATTCGGTGGCTTCAGTTGAAGCGAGGATTCGTGAGAAGAGGCGCTTCACAATAACAGGTCTCTCAAACAAATTTCCTGACGTGTCGAGATCAGTGCTTTACAACATTGTTTCTGAACACCTAAAGTTTAGGAAACTGTGCTCCTGTTGGGTCCCGAATTTGACGACGTGAAAACGGCAGTGAACTCTTGGTTATCGGAGCAGGCGGCAAGTTTTTATGAAGAGGGTATTTTAAAATTGGTTCAGAGGTATGATAAGTGTTTGAACAAACTTGGCAACTATGTCGAAAAATAGAATGAAGTATGTACTTTCTGAAAATAAATTTACTTTTTTGAAATAAACTTTCGTTGTGTACTTATGTTCAAACGGACCTTACTTAAAAAATACCCCTCGTAGTATATGAAATTAAGTATTTCTTCTTAAATGGTAGACTTAAATGGTAGATTCTGGCTTGTGGGGTCCCTCAGGGCTCTGTTTTGTCCCAATGGTATTCAATATATAGATGAAACTGCTGGGAGGGGTCATCTGGGGTTTTGGGGTACATTGCCACATATATGCAGATGACACCCAACTCTTATCATGTTTTTGCATTCATTGTAAGACTGTGTCTGCCTTTTAATTAAAAGGTGTAACTTAAAAAAAACAAATGGGTGTCTTCAGCTAATTATTTTCTCTTATATATTATTTAGGCATGAATAATGCAACGTGAAATTTCATCAACAGCATAAATTAGATTTTGGGGAAGGAATGTTCTAGGCCTCCCTATGTGTTTTGAAACAGGTCATGCATTTGGACTGAGGCACAGCCCTCCCTTGATTGTTTGTTTTTTTGAATAAGAAGATCATTGGTTGAGAAAGGGACGACTATTTCGGGAAACTATTAAAATTGGAATCAATTGAATTGTGTGGGACAGCACTCTCGGTAGGACATGACTCCTTGAACAAACTCACCAATAGGCATGGTTAGGTTCGGTCAGAATCTTCGTAATTCGGAATAAATTTGGAAAGATTTGCTTTTTGAAGCGATTTTGAAAAGTTTCTGCGAAAATCGGAATTGACTTTCAAATCAAACCACCAGCATCCCCTACATCCAAAACACGGATGATGTCCAACTCTGTCACTCCTTTCCACCTGTTACTAAGGAGGCTGTTCAGGTCCTGAACCGGTGCTTGGCCGCTGTGACGGTCTGGATGAGGGCGAACAAATTGAAATTGAATCCAGACAAGACAGAGGTACTCCTGGTCAGTCGTAAGGCCGAACAGGGCATAGGGTTACAGCCTGTGTTGGATGGGGTCGCACTCCCCCTGAAGACACAGGTTCGCAGCTTGGGTGTGATCCTGGACTCATCGCTGAGCCTGGAACCCCAGGTTTCGGCGGTGACCAGGGGAGCATTCGCACAGTTAAAACTTGTGCGCCAACTGCGCCCGTACCTTGGGAAGTCTGACTTGGCCACGGTAGTCCACGCTCTGGTTACATCCCGTAGACTACTGCAATGCCCTCTACGTGGGGTTGCCTTTGAAGACTGCTCGGAAGCTTCAAATGGTGCAGCGTTCGGCAGCCAGGTTACTAACAGGAGAGGCTCTCAGGGAACATACTACTCCAAACTACTACTCCAAACTGGCAGCCAGCTCCACTGGCTGCCAGTTTGCTACTGGGCACAATTCAAAGTGCTGGCGTTAGAGGATAAAACTCCGTCAAAAATGGATTGGTTAGAAAAAATAATAGATATAAAGGACATGGATGAACTAACATACTGGTTGAGGCAACACAACGGACGAGGTATGAAGCCAACTGATTGGTCTGACTTACAAGAATATATGGAAAGTAGAGACTGGTTAACAAACTGAAAGAAGAGAGATAGGAATAATATTAGGATGTTCTTTCACTCGCAATATGAGACAACTAAGGGAAAAGAAGGGAAAGAGACTGAAAGAATGGAGAAAAGATAGTAAAGGTTAAGTAAGAAGAACGGAAGTCACACTAGGGTGTTAAATGTTTGTATGCTTGGGGTTTTTTTTCTTTCTCTTTTCTTTTGTAACAGGTGGAAGTTTATATGTTGTGCTGTAATATTTTGTGAAAATTAATAAAAATTACATTAAAAAAAACAAAGTGCTGGCGTTAGCCTATAAAGCCCTAAACGGTTCTGGCCCTACTTACCTCTCCGAACGCATCTCCTCCTATGAACCGACTAGGACACTAAGATCATCTGGGGAGGCCCTGCTCTCTGTCCCGCCTGCATCACAGGCGCACTTGGCGGGGACGAGAGACAGGGCCTTCTCAGTGGTGGCCCCTCGGCTGTGGAACGCCCTGCCTGCAGATATCAGATCGGCCCCCTCCCTGCTGGCGTTTCGGAGGAAAGTGAAGACCTGGCTGTTTGAACAAGCATTTGATTAAGCAGTGTAATTGAATATAGGAATACGGAATAATGGATGATGAGACTGGATTCTGATTTTACTGTTGAAGCGCTAATGATTGTTATACTGATGTTTAATGATTTATGTTACAATTGTTTTTAATTGCCCTATACTTGTCACCTTCTAATCAAGGTGAAAGAAGAAAGCGCAAAAGCTGGGTTGCAGCTAAATGTAAAAAAAAAACCAAGATTATGGCAACAAGAATGATTGACAACTGGGAAATAGAGGGAGAAAATGTGGAGGCCGTGACAGACTTTGTATTTCTAGGCGCAAAGATGACTGCAGATGCAGACTGTGGCCAGGAAATCAGAAGACGCTTACTTCTTGGGAGGAGAGCAATGTCCAGTCTCGATAAAATAGTAAAGAGTAGAGACATCAGACTGGCAACAAAGATCCGCCTAGTCAAAGCCATGGTATTCCCTGTAGTAACCTACGGATGTGAGAGCTGGACCTTAGGGAAGGCTGAGCGAAGGAAGATCGATGCTTTTGAGCTGTGGTGTTGGAGGAAAGTTCTGAGAGTGCCTTGGACTGCGAGAAGATCTAACCAGTCCATCCTCCAGGAAATAAAGCCCGACTGCTCATTGGAGGGAAGGATAGTAGAGACAAAGATGAAGTCCTTTGGCCACATCATGAGAAGAAAGGAAAGCTTAGAGAAGACAATGATACTGAGGAAAAAAGGAAGCAAAAAGGAAGAGGGGCTGACCAAGGGCAAGATGGATGGATGGCATCCTTGAAGTGACTGGATTGACCTTGAAGGAGCTGGGGGTGGTGACGGCCGACAGGGAGCTCTGGCATGGGCTGGTCCATGAGGTCACGAAGAGTCGGAGACGACTGAATGAACGAACAACAACAACATCTATTATTTGTATTGATGTTGTTCACCGCTTTGAGTCGCCTGAGGGCTGAGAAAAGTGGTATATAAATAAAGTAAAGAAATAATAATAAATAAACCATTTTTAAATCAAACAAACCTACTAACCAATATAACCAGGATGAGTGTGAAGTCACTTACCCAATGGCCACAGCTACAGAATCGGTTTTCTCAGCAATGTAGCGGCAGTGATGGTCAACCATATCTAATAAACACATAACATTTGAAAAGAGATTACTGACAGGTTTCAGGACTATTTCGAAAGATGCTATACTCCCCCTGAATTTTGTTTCTTGGAAAAATCAAGAAGCTACTGCTTCAAGGCTGATATAACTATATTCATAGGAATTCTGTTAAAATGGATCTATTGGCGGGTTAAAAGTGTGGACCTGGGTATTAGGCTTGGGCGGTTTCGTTCGTTAATTTCGTAATTCGTTATTAATTCGTATTTAAATTAGCTTACGATCCAATATTGAGCCATGCAGGAATAGTGTGAGGAGTAATAAAGATTCGAAACAATTTTTTCAATTTATTTCGTAATTAGTTCGTAATTATTTCGTAATTATTTTCGCATGTCTGGTGCAAGTTTGATAGTTGTTGTTTGTTTTATCACACCAACAGTCAACAACAGAGGGAGAGGGAAGCTTCAGAAGTTCCCCCTGTCCCATTTGGAGATTTTTTTAGCATATTGCGCAATCTCGTCCGTCATTAACGAATCGATTCGTAATTTTACAAAATTTCATAAATTTCGAAATTTTTTAAAGGAAAATTTCGGAATTATTAAAAAAAACGAAACGCAAGGGCCCCCTAAAAACAAAACGAGTTTAGAACCAAATTTTTCCGTGGTTACCCAAGCCTACTGGGTATATGTCTACATTAAATGATTCATTGCCAAGGATGCTCAACTATTTCAGGAAGTATATTAAGAGACTTATTTGATAGTATAATCATTTGCTGACAAAGAGATCCCAAACTATTCAAACTTCCGTGGTCTGTTCCAATTAGTAATTCATTTTTGAGATTTGGATGACCCCTGCTTCATTTTGTAAAGCTTCGGAGGGCTTTACAAAATCTCCGAAATCTCCGAAACGTTGTAATTGTTTTGTTAAAATTTGTTCCATTAGTGGCAATGGGAGAAAATATCGAGGCTTGTTTCTCCATCATTTTTACAGTTATCAGGATTGTAACTTGGCACACTTGTAGGCAACATTTACAACTTTAAGTCTGCCAAGATTCAGTCACCCACTGATTTCTAGGAATTCTATTTTTTAAAAAAAATACTTTTTATTAAATACCTTCGCTCTTTTATTTATACATAAAACCAGGGTAGGGAGTAGGGTGATGTTGGGCCGAATCTATACATAAAAAATTTAACAGGGGGAGGGGCAAGAGATGAGAAAAGAAGAAGAAAAGGGAGTGGGGTGTCGAGGGTGAAGGGAAAAAAAGGGGGGAGTAGGGGAATTCACGTCGACTTCCAATCTTCTTCTCCACATATCCACTGCCAGTCTGCTCCATTTTGCCTTTAATAAGTCTTCCCTTTCTACTTATATCGTGATCTTGATGTTTCTTCTAATTTCTTTCGCTTCTATACTGCTTTCCTGTGTCATACTCTTCCTTTCTTTCTTTTTATTAATTTTTTCGTCTATTTTCTTCGGTGAAGTAATCGTCCACCATTTTCCGATTTGTCTTTATGATCGGTCTACCATGAGATTCTTTTAAAGCAAACGTTAGTTTGTCCGCTAGGCTTGGATAACCACGGAAATATTTGGTTCTAAACTCGTTTTGTTTTTAGGGGGCCCTTGTGTTTCGTTTTTTTAATAATTCCGAAATTTTCCTTTAAAATTTTTTGAAATTTACAAAATTTCGTAAAATTACGAATCGATTCGTTAATGGCGGACGAGATTGCGCAATATGCTAAAAAAAACCTCCAAATGGGACAGGGGGAACTTCTGAAGCTTCCCTCTCCCTCTGTTGTTGACTGTTGGTGTGATAAAACAAACAACAACTATAAAACTTGTACCAGACATGCGAAAATAATTACGAAATAATTACGAATTAATTACGAAATAATTTCAAAATAATTACGAAATAAATTGAAAAAATTGTTTCGAATCTTAATTACTCCTCACACTATTCCTGCATTGCTCAATAATGGATCGTAAGCTAATTTAAATACGAATTAATAACAAATTACGAAATTAACGAACGAAACCGCCCAAACCTATTGACCGCATCTTTGATTTCTTGAATTTTATTTAGCCATTCTTCTTTCGTTGCGAGTTCACTTTGTTTCCATTTTTTTGCTATTACCATTCTCGCTGCATTAGAGAGGTATGTAAATAAGATGTCATTGTTTCGGTTCCTTTCCACTTCTTCATCTGCTAGTCCTAACAGAAAGTATTCTGGTTTTAGCTGGATCTTCAATATCTTCTCACATATCTCCTGTACCATCTTCCAAAAGATCTTCATCTTGGGGCATGTCCACTAGGCGTGAAAGAATGTTCCGACCTGCATATCGCATTTCCAACATTTGTTCTGGGTATTTCTATACATTGCACTTAGTTTTTGAGGAGTCATGTATCATCTATAGAACATCTTAATCAAATTCTCTTTTAAATCTGTCGAATAGGTATATTTGATCTTTTTAGTCCATAGCTTCTCCCATTCATTCAGTTTTATCGCTCTTCCAATATTTGATGCCCTTTTGATCATGCATTCCTTGACTAGCTCTGTCTCCATCGTCCAGTCCAGCAACTTGTTGTAGATCTTGGTTATAGTTTTTGTTTTCTTTCAATATGATCCTGTCTTGAAAGTCATCTTTTTCCTGATTTCAAGGAATTTTAAAAAGTTTTTTTTCCCATAAAAACTACAAGACACTGCGGGGAGGAGACCAACTTTGCAGAAAGCCATGTGATTGGCTGACAAGGAAAAAAACACACACAGCTGCCATTGTCAATCACATCAGCCCCCTTTCCACCTCCTGCCCCAGGTTATTATTAAATCTTGAAAGACTCCAAAACAATTTTTTTACTAAACTCCCAAAATATTTTGGAGGCTTCCATTTTGTTTTGTAATGCTTCAGACGGGAGTCCTTTCTGATTAGTAATTTAAAGATTTGGATTAATGAACCATACAAATCTCCAGATTACAAAGCAGTAGGGCTGGGTAACAACGGAAAAAATTGTTTCTATACTCGTTTCGTTTTTAGGGACCCATTGCGTTTCGTTTTTTATAAGAATTCCGAATTTTTCTTTAAAAAAACGTTATTTACGAAATTTCGTAAATTTCGAATTGATTCGTTAATGGCGGACGCGATTGCGCAATACGCTAAAAAAAAACTCCAAATGGGACAGGGGGAACTTCTGAAGCTTCCCTCTCCCTCTGTTGTTGACTGTTGGTGTGATAATTTATTTTTTATCACTGATAAAACAAACAACAACTATAAAACTTGCACCAGACATACGGAAATAATAACGAATAAATTTAGAAACGATTTCGAACCAATTACGAAACAATTACAAAATAAATTGAAAAATTCGTTTCGATTTTTAGTTGCTCCTGCATGGCTCAATATCAGATCGTAAGCTAATTTAAATACGAATCAATAACGAATTACGAAATTAACGAACAAAACCGCCCAGCCCTACAAAGCAGCCCTCCGAAGGGTTGTTGTAGGTTTTTTGGGCTCTATGGCCATGTTCTAGAAGCATTCTCTTCTGCATCTGTGGGAAGCATCCTCAGAGGTTGTGAGGTTGTGAAAAGCCTTTGACAATACATAGACCCTCCAAAGCTTTGCACAGCTCTTCAGGCTACAGTGTGAAAGCAGGTCAAACACAAAGCAGACATAAAGCAGGAATCACAACCACATTTTTTTTGCTGGCTCACTTACAGGCATTGTAGGAAAACCTTATGCTAAAGTCCTATGCCAAATCCTTGCAATTCTATAAAATGGAATCTCATGGGCTTCATTCGGAGAACTTACAAATGTTTCCAAAAAGACCGGCGCCTCCAGCAATGACAACCACTCCTTTTCTGTTTCCAGAAGTCGCTTTGGGCCAATACACTCTCACCGGAATGTCTTCAAAAAGCAAGTTCTTGATAATCAACGCTGAGCTCTTCTTCAATGGGATTACTTTATAGAAAGTGCCAATGGCTTTATACCTGTGGCAAATGCCAAGCTTCTCACAGATGAGTGCCTATTTAGAGCAAAACAAGGACAAGGAAGAATTCAATGTAGCATGCATGCAGGACATATACACAAGGAATGACAGCCATAGGGTGAGTCTACACTCGATTGCCTCTGATATGGCCAAATAAAAATTAAGTAACACTATGTAACAAAATTTGAGAAATGTTCTGTTCCTGGTTTGAAAGTGTTATTGCTGTTTGACTGTGCAGTTTCCTTGCTTTGAAAGTAGCTGTTCTACTCTAGAAACATTGCTTTGGTGGTTGAATTGGTTGAGACTCTATGACAGCAGTTCTCAACCTGAGGGTCGCAGCCCCCGGAGGGGTCAGTTGGCCATTTAGGAGGGGTTGCGAGTCTGCCTCCTTTGGCCCCATCCCTTTGCCTCTTCGCAATGGCTGCTGCCCCCCCCCCCCCGGTCAGTCAAACAGCCAGCTCTTCCTTGCCACACCACTAGGCAGATTCAACGGAGGCACAAGTCTCCTCACTGGATCTGGGCCCGGACCCCTCCAGAATACTCCAAGCAACTGCAACACTCAAATGTCAAGGTCTATTTCCCCCAAACTTCTCCAGTATTTTCTGTTGGTCATGGAAGTTCTGTATTCCAAGTTTGGTTCAATTCTGTTGGAGTTCAGAATGCTCTTAGATAGCAAGGGATACATCCAACAACTGCAACTCCCAAATGTCAGGGTCCATTTTCCCCAAATCTCTCCAGTATTTTGTGTTGGTTATTCTGTTTGTCAAGTTTGGACCAGGTCTGTAATTCATGGGGGTCTCAGTGGTCTGTGAAAGTCAGAACTGAATCGGTTGAAGGTACTGCAAATCTCATCATCCATTATCTATACTCCCCCAAACATATTGTTTATGTCACTAGAGTAAAATACTAGGGCTGGGCAACCACGGAAAAAATTGTTTCTAAACTCGATTCGTTTTTAGGGGGTTTTTGCGTTTCGATTTTTAAAAGAATTCCGAAATTTTTCTTTAAAAAAGTTCAAAATTTACGAAATTTCAGAAATTATGAAACAATTACGAAACAATTATAAATCGATTTGTTAATGGCGGACGCGACCACGCAATACGCTAAAAAAACCTCCAAATGGGACAGGGGGAACTTCTGAAGCTTCCCTCTCCCTCTGTTGTTGACTGTTGGTGTGATAATTATATATTTTTTCACTGATAAAACAAACAACAACTATAAAACTTGCACCAGACATGCGGAAATAATAACGAAACGATTTCGAAACGATTTCGAAACAATTACGAAACAATTACGAAACGAATTGAAAAATTCGTTTCGATTTTTAGTTGCTCCTGAATGGTTCAATATTGCTTCGTTATCAAAAAAATAACGAATTAATAACGAATTACGAAATTAACGAACGAAACCGCCCAGCCCTGCATATCAGATATTTGCATTACTATTCATAACAGTAGCAAAATTATAGTTATATAGTAGCAGAAAAACTAATTTTATAGTTGGGGGTCACAACACAACATGAGGAACTATATTTCGTGGTCATGGCATTAGATGTATTCATTGAAAAACTATTGCAAAATGTTCTATAGCAGGATGTCCATTTCCGCATGTTTTTATGACAGAACCAATTCGGGAATTACAACCCAGGATCAAAAATTGTGTGACACAGTGCTATTTTGACAAATTTGTATTCCATTTTCTGGCACCTATTATGCCTTTTTTGGATGTCCACTAAGCTGTGGGATAAAAACGGATCCAAATTTTGGGTGAAATAATTGGACACTTCTGAAAGTGAGAACTCGAATCCCATTTACAAACTAGAAACCAAACTATCAAAATATTCCCACAATTAACCTCAAAAAAATTACATCCCTTTCCATGTTCGACATCCAGAGAAAGAGAGCTTCCATGTGATAATGTCATATAAACATACACAAAGATACAGAGAAGGGTGTTAAGATCAGGAAAACTTACCCAAAACCCTAAAAACTGGATAATTGAATGGTAAATCCGTAATTTACCAGGGTATTTGACTCCCGGTGGGATGTGTATCCTGGTCTGATCGTAATAAATCAGCCCTGCAATCCCGAAGACTAGAATGAAAATGCTGGCATATAACACAAGCATCCCGAGAGTTGCAAGAAATGCCATGCTCTTGACGAACGAGCATGAAAGGACTCTTGTTTGTCCCGGTTGGCTTCCGACGTTCTATATCACACCAGCCTCCCCAGTTTGGAGGGAATTAGTTCTGAATGGCTTTTAATTAAGGTGTCAGCTGATGGAGTTTGTAGTTGCGTACAACCCTGGATTGTTCAGTCATGGTGCTCATTCTAAAAGAATGCATAATGCTAATTGCATTACATCTTCCATTACTGAGACTAAACTATGGAGAAATTATTGTTGGTAATAACTTCCCTGATTTCCTAGTTATAAATTAGGGAAATGCTTATTGTCTTCCCTTCACTCGCACAACACTTCTCTCGTCATATTGTTCAGACTGGATTCTCAGGTTCCTGGACAGAAACGATGTGTCTGAAGTTTCTGTTAGAAAGGGGGTATCCTCTGTTCCAAAATGTCTTCCAAAACAATCATACTTGTTAGTCCATGGAATCTCTGGAAATAAGATAGACCTCACCTGCAGTTCTGGGCACTGCAAGAAGGATATGGAGAAGCTAGGAAGTGTCCACCACAATGGTCAAGGAAGTGGGAACCATAAATCCTTCTGTGCTTGGAGAAGAGAAGGCTGACTGAAAGGGACAGGAGAGCCATGTTTCAAAATTGGAAAGGAGACATACAAGGTATTAGGGCTGGGTAACCACGGAAAAATTTGTTTCTAAATTCGATTCATTTTTAGGGTTTTTTTGCGTTTCGTTTCTTAAAAGAATTCCGAAATTTTCCTTTAAAAAAGTTCGAAATATACGAAATTTCGTAAAATTACGAATCGATTCGTTAATGGCGGACGCGATTGCGCAATATGCTAAAAAAACCCTCCAAATGGGACAGGGGGAACTTCTGAAGCTTCCCTCTCCCTCTGTTGTTGACTGTTGGTGTGATAATTTATTTTTTATCACTGATAAAACAAACAACAACCATAAAACTTGCACCAGACATACGGAAATAATAACGAAATAATAACGAAATAATAACGAAACAATTACGAAACAATTACGAAATAAATTGAAAAATTCGTTTCGATTTTTAGTTGCTCCTGCATGGCTCAATATCGGATCGTAAGCTAATTTAAATACGAATTAATAACGAATTATGAAATTAACGAACGAAACCGCCCAGCCCTACAAGGTATATACTGGTGTATGCAGTTTTTTCGTTAGTCGTCGTAAGTCGTATCAAATTAATCAAGTACGTACTTACAAGATGATATCCAACAAGTGCCAAAAACTTAAGAATCGAAACTTACCCAATGAATGGTTGAATCTGCAAAGGGGAGAACTGGTTGAGACTTCAAGTAAGTCAATCTCTGTGCTGGGCTTCTGAATAAAGCAGAGAGTGTTTGAGGACCGGGATGTCCGTAGGGAGACCAAGACGCTTGTTTATAAAGCCATTGTCCTAGAATCATAGAACTGGAAGAGACCTCATGGGCCATCCAGTCCAACCCCCTGCCAAAAAGCAGGCAAACCCTCCCAACCCTGCTATACGGCTGCAAAACGTGGACTGTTTACAGACATCACATGCAACTCCTAGAACAATTCCATCAGCGCTGCCTCCAAAAAATCCTGCAAATCTCTTGAGAAGACAGGCAGACAAATGTCAGCATGCTGGAAGAAGCAAAGACCACCAGCACTGAAGTGATGGTATTCCGCCATCAACTCCGCTGGACTGGCCACGTTGTCCGGATGCCCGATCACTGTCTCCCAAAGCAGTCGCTCTACTCCGAACTCAAGAAGGGGAAACATAATATTGGTGGACAGGAAAAGAGATTTTAAGATGGACTCAAAGCCAACCTCAAAAACTCTGGCATAGACACAGAAAACTAGGAAGCCCTGGCCCTTGAGCACTCTAACTGGTGGTCAGCTGTGACCAGCAGTGGTGCAGAATTCGAAGAGGCACAATGGAGGGCGAAAGGGAGAAACATACCAAGAGGAAGGCACATCAAGCCAACCCTGACCAGGACCGCATTTCATCTGAAAACTGTTGTCCTCATTGCGAGAGAACATGCAGATCAAGAATAGGGCTCCACAGTCCCCTACGGACTCGCCACCAAGACACCACATCTGGAAGACTATCATCTCCGAGCTGTGAGGGATCATCTAAGTAACTAAGTATGCTGGGCTGGGGAAAAATCCATCAATGGAAGTTCTATTGGTCAATGTGTGAGAGAGACATTCAAGGAGATTGCTGTTGGACTTAAACACAAAACGGTTTTGTCAAAACTTTAAAAAAATCTCTAAAATCAGTAGATGTGTGAATATTCCTGAAAGTTGTGGGGAATTATCTCCTGTTATCTTGTGTCATTGGATAGAAAATTCAAGGGAATCGCTGTTGTAGTTTTTTTTAAATTGTTCCTAAATTTTAGAAAATTACCCAAAATCTGTAGATAACTGAAACATTCTGAAATTTGGTGGGCTATTAGTGGTAAATGTGTTCTACTTTTGTAGCAAGTTTCACCCAAAAAGCTGTGCAAATGAAGGAGTAAGGAGTAAGGAGCCTCTTAAATTTCCCCACTTGCGCAATCACGAGAACAAAAAAGTCACAAAATTTCTTTATTCTCGTTATAGTAACAAAATTTTCACTAATGATACTTTAGAAACACTTTAGAAATGAAATGTCGGTGCATTTTGTAATGATTTTTGAAACATTTTTTATTGATTGCACATGCCTAGTATATATATACCAGGGCTTCCTAAACTTTTTCAAACTCATGATCCCTTTTCGCCTGAGAATTTTCTAGGTGACCAAACCAAACATTTACTGATAATAAATCACAACAAATATTTATTTCAAAACAATTCTTTGGTATACATATAATTTTAATATGTATGAAAGATCAAAGCAAATTTGCATATTCATGAGATATGGAAGTGCTTGTTTATTTCTGCATGGAGAATTACATCTTGAATATTTGAGATTGCAGGATGCAGAGTATTTTCAACATTTTTATGTCATGCTAGCAGGTTGCTCAAGAGAAACAATAGAATGAATAGAAACAATGAATGCCTCCTTTTCCCAAGACAACTCTCTATGTAGATAAGAGATAATTAATGGGAGAAAATGAATCCCTAACAAAGACATAAATACAAACATGTCAAGATGACAGGAATACAGAAGGAAGATCAGTGGGAGATCGTAGCAGGCATTGGTACTTACTAGCTGGAAGAAAAAGACTTTAGCAGGAGGTATTTGGCTTCAAGAAATTCAAACAACGAATCCCTGAAATGCATTTTTAAAGAAAAAAACTTTCTAACTGTCAAAGACAAGCTATTGACTCCAGCAGACCTCACCTCTGAGGAAGCTTGCCATAGATGCAGGCGAAACGTCAGGAGAAATGCCTCTAGAACATGGCCATATAGCCCGAAAAAACCCACAAGAACTGAGAAACAATAGACTTTGCTGGGTCTCCTTTGTACTCCTGAATTCGTGTACATCCCCGAAACAACCACTAGGTGGCAAACTACACACTATTTTAAGTGTATTGTGTGTATTTATTGTATTTTAATCTGTTTTTACCACACTGTTCTTATTTAATTGTTATTTAGCTTTTGTATTATGCTTGGAAGGGAGCAGGGAGAGACTGGTGGAAATTAGGGCTGGGCAACCACGGAAAAATTTGTTTCTAAAATCGATTCGTTTTTTGGGGGGTTTTGCGTTTCGATTTTTAAAAGAATTCCGAAATTTTTCTTTTAAAAAGTTCGATATTTACGAAATTTCGTAAATTACAAAACAATACGAAACAATTACGAAACAATTACGAATCAATTCGTTAATGGCGGACGCGACCGTGCAATACGCTAAAAAACCTCCAAATGGGACAGGGGGAACTTCTGAAGCTTCCCTCTCCCTCTGTTGTTGACTGTTGGTGTGATATTTATAATTTTTTTTCACTGATTAAACAAACAACAACTATAAAACTTGCCCCAGACATGCGTAAATAATAACGAAACGATTTCAAAACAATAACGAAACGAATACAAACCGAATTCGAAACAATTACGAAACGAATTTAAAAATTCATTTCATTTTTTAATTGCTCCTGAATGGTTCGTTATCGCTTCGTTATAAAAAAAACGAATTTTTAACGAATTATGAAATTACGAAACGAAACCGCCCAGCCCTACTTCTGAGAGTTCCTTCAATACTCTTGGATTTATTTATTTATTTATTTAGAGGTTTTCTATAGAAGGTGGGAAGGAGTGACAGAGTTGGGCATCATCTGTGTACAGATGACACCGCACCCCAAAACTCCAGATGATCTCCCCCAATGGCTTCATGTATATGTTGAACATCATGGGAGACAGTATTGATCCCTGAGGAACCCCACAAGACAAAGGTTGTGGAGTTGAACAGGTGTCCCCCAACAACACCTTCTGGGTGCGACCCTCCAGAAAGGACTGGAGCCACTGTTAAACAGTGCCCACCCCCCCAGGCCCATTCCAGCGAGGCGTCCTAGAAGGATACCATGGTTGACGGTATCGAAGGCTGCTGGGAGGTCTAGCAGAACCAACAGGGACACACTCCCCCTGTCTAGCTCACGGCATAGATCAACTAAGGCAACCAAGACTGTCTCGGTTCCATGCCCTGATCTAAAGCCAGACTGTGCTGGATCCAGATAAACTGTGTCTTCCAAGAATACCTGGAGTTGTGAAGCCACCACACATAACAGGACTTTGCCCAAAAAGGGGATATTGGAAACTGGCCGATAGTTGTCGAATTGAGTGGGGTCCAGTGATGGTTTTTTCAACAGCGGTTTTATTATAGCTTGTTTTAAGCTCGCTGGAATGCTGCCTTCCCGAAGGGAGGCATTAACCACCACCTTTACCCACTCGGCCAATCCCCCTCTGGCTTCCTTCAAAAGCCAGGATGGGCAGGGGTCTAGGATGCATGTGGTTGGCCTCATTCCTCCAAGTATCTTGTCCATATCCTCGGGTTTCACCAATTGAAATGAATCCATCAAAACCAGACAAGCAGGTGCTTGTGTTAGATCAGGGGTCCTCAAACTTTTTAAACCGGGGGCCAGTTCACTGTCCCTCAGACCG